AGCCAAGAGTGACCACTGTCCAAAAGGGGGGGGCTCAGCCCCTTCAACTTTTCTCAGTGGGGCCCCCCTTGCCATCCGGCTGATACGCCTATGTAATGATTGGTAGTACATGAATTCATCTAATTTTCGTACTTCTGGCTCCGTGTGTGTTTGTGTGGCTCGAAGCTGCTTTCTCGTGAAACAAAAATCAACAAATGTTCAGCGGTTGCACTTCACCACCTTATTTATTCTTTTAAGTTTACCTTTTCAAATCGGGTCACAAAGTTCAAAGGGTTAGTTCTTTCCTTTGAAACAAACTGAAACACAGCAATAAAAAAAGCCACAAGTACGATTCGTCGGCCGCAAGTAGTAAGACTAGGCAAATCCGTGCACTACTACCCATCATTCTCATGGTGGCTGAAAGGTCGCAGCGCCAGAGTCCCCTCTGGTTAATTTTAGAAAACTCTAGGGTTCAAATACTGTAAAAAACATTTAACAATTCATGTCACATGTATCATGGCAAAGCCTTCAGTAACAAAATTTTTAGTCCGCCTTCCTGAGACAAAAGCCGAAAACAGCAATCAGTTAATAAGCTAAACGCTCAGGTTATAGCGTCCCACACGAAACAGCGGTCACATCCCACCTGATTTTCTACCACATTCATCACAGACGCACGTCTTCGCTTCCAAATAAACAGCTTCGATTAAACCATCAACCCTGACGCCTTGCTTTCTTTAGATGCAAAAGCAGTCTTTGCATGCTCATGATTACTCTTGGCATGAAGATGTTTGAACAGCGAGCACCGATGCGAATGCACCTGTGTGATCCCTTCTATCACACCAACAGGCTTTCTCGACAGGTAAGGCAGACGCACACTCATGTTCACAACCGACGCAGGTCCTTCCTCATCTGACGCGACAGAAGACGCGCCAACTTCTTTGCTGCTCGAATAGTGCTTTGCGGCAATTCTGCAAACTTTCTGCGTTTGATCTTTGCGCACACTTCGTGCTTCCTTCTGCCTCAAGGCTTTCTAAACTCTAAGTTGAGTTTTTTAGTCGTCATTTCCCCCTTGCTATGCTCTTTATTTTTGCCACCTTCACTACGACTGGTCAAAGGCAAGCTTACCTCGATAATAACTGTACTAGGGCTCTAAGGGGCACTTAAGCACAAATGATTCTTTATGGAATAGTCTAGTATCTTGCCCTCAATGTCCCCCTGCTCTTTTAATGGCTCAACTAGGCCTTTCCTAGTTTCTTGTTAGCCAACTGGAATAATGGTTGGAGCAGTCAACTTATGTTGGGGTGAGAGCTGCCATGGTGGCGCACCTTCGAGCAGCCTATATGAATTCACAATCGCCTTGTTTTTCTTCAAAGGTGAGCTTTGTATGCTCAGAGCATAGTTGCGACGGCACAGAACACTCAGTCATCATTAAGATGACTTCACGTTTACCACAACGCGTCTCGACATACGCTAGACGCAAGCATAGAGACAAAAGTTTTTTCTCTAACGCAGCCTTCTCGTGAGCCAGCTTCTCCTCATGTTGTCGAGCACATGCATCGCGCTCTGCCAGCTCGCGACGTGCATGCGCATCGCTCTCTTCGTGCTCGAGTAGCTCCTCGTGCTCGACGGCGCGTTATTCTCTCGCGCAAGCTTTCTGCTTTTGCATTCATTCTCTTCTGCGTGCTTCCTCCTCTCGCGTCCATTCTCTTTCTCGCGCCTTCTCCTCTTGCGTTCACTGTCTCAGTTTGTGTAAGGTTAGGCCTAGCCTGTCAGCAATGGTGCTCGGCTCGCTTCAATCCGTGTCATAGTTATGTTCCTTTTGAAAGAACAGAAATAAGCCTCGCCCCACATTGGGTACCATTGTGATGGGGTTCTTCAGAATGTTTGAATTAGAGGGAGTTCTTTGCATCAGTGACGTCTATGTCCGTAATGAAATGGCAAGGCTGTTTTCTGTTTTTTCTCACTTCATAAAAACAATACATGAAAATAGACATACAACAAGGATGCTACACGGGAAGAGAATGCTATACAACACAGAAAAAAACCTCGAAAAGCAACGCACATGTTGAGTCCTACCACGAGAGTGTCTCACCGGTGAGTGCTTGAAGCTTATGCGGGTCTCATCTAAGTTGAGGAGGTGAAACACGGGAATGTAGGTACCGCAAGAATTCGGTGAACAGCAAGGCGACGCTCAGATGTAAGCATGACAGAGCAAGTAGGTGCTGAATACAGGGCCGAGGAAAGCAGGCACTCTTCTTCTCGGACCAAGAGCCACAGCCAAGTACTCAGGCTAACAACGCCAGACAGTGAACCTGGTGGCTCCGGTAGTTTCCCGCTGGCTCCGTAGACTGATGAAGCTTCAGGTTAAGCGAAGCAGGCCGCTCTGACTCTTGACCTCTGCCAGGCACTCGGGGCAAACCGTGACCGTGACGCTGGCGAACTGTCTCCACCCTGCTTCTGCCCGAACCGACACCTCCTTGCCTAAAGTGTCGCACTCCTCGGGTCGACTCATCGGCTTTCCATTGGGACTTTCTGGGTTGCTGTGTTGACAAGTTATTGGCCCCTGAAATCTCCGTGGCGAATCCCTATTGGGCCACTTGCACGTCGATACCTTGAGCCGCGTGGTCTCGCGCTCGACATTACTTTCACGTAATCGTCTTCGTTTCAGCCACCGCTCGCGCACACATTTCTCTGTTGGCAAAAAGGCGCACACTTCGAACGCGCACCACACATCACACACTTGCACAGTATAATTTCTCGCTTTAGTTTTATGCACACACCAAAAAAAATAAACATGACGTTGCTTCAAGGGCGACTATATATGTGAAAGGTGGAATGTTTTGACGAGAGCAAAAGCGCTGTTTCTCCCTCATGCAGCTTCCGTCAAAAACTTGTACTAAGCCTTACAGCAGGAGTGCATGCGGGTGCAAAGGAACTCTTCTAAGCTACAATAAATACCAAAGAACCCTCTCTTGCGGTAAGCTTCTTTCATTTTCAATATTCAAAATCTGTACTGCTTTCGGAGTAAGCTCTATGTTTGTCTTTCTTGCTAATGTTGAACGATGCACAATTGTGTCTAGAGGCCTAAGCACAGCGCGTGCAGGGCCTACTGTGGTGGTGGTCAAACGAGCGAGAAGAGGCACAGAGCATAGGCGTGCCTATCTTTATGTAGCCAAAATGCGCATGGTGGTGATGTAAGGTCCCCGAGGTTTAAGCCACCACGCATCCTATTTTCAGAGTCTGGCTAGTTACAAACTGCTGGCGGGATTAATTGGGCAGATCGCACGTTTCTGTTATGCACTGACATGTGCTTGTTGATGTTCGGGCGTGAATAATGGAGGTTCCGTAGATTTATTAGTGGCTCGTGGAACTCCTAGGAGGCTCCTCGGAACTTTTAGGGTCTGCAGAATCCCCTTTGAGAACCCCTGCCTTATAGCATGGCCACAGCTCCATTCTCATAAAGCTCCATTAGGAAGTTGAATGCTGAACGGAGGTAAATGGGGTTTGGTAGTTGTCTTGGGATAGGGGTATTCGTCGAACTGTGACATGCTTTGGCTTTCATTTGGCAAATCAATGCTTTCAGCCGCTGTCACCATAACACTATAAAATTTTACTCTGGCTGGCTCTTTTGCACCGCGTGTGTCATCAGAGTACCAGGCATGATTAGCCAACATGCAGTGCATGAGCGCAATTTTGAGCAAGATGCTAGAATTATGGAGATGCCGGCTGAAAGTAAAAGTTTTGCCTACAGCGATAGTCAAGGCATGTCACAGTTCATTGAGTCAAAAGTTCTGCTTTCCACTGTTCACGTTTTTCTTCCATCGCATCGTGATAGTACGTGTCTGATGAAGTTGCTTCCGCAGTCTACAATGCACGTATCGTAGATATTCCGGGATGCCGAGAAAAGTCAACGTTTCACAAGAAAGCAGCACAAATTTCTGAGAGAGGAAAAGTGCGGAACAATTAAGGTACAGCTTGACTATGCATGGGAAGTTTTGCATTCGATTTGCAGGGTGTCTGCTAGCATATCAGTTCAGGGTGTTGCTTTGCCGCACTTGCAACAGATATTGGGACGCCGTGCTTAAGTATGGCAGCACACGCCAAACTCTCTGTGTTCTGGTGTATAAAGGGTTGGTAATTCTAGGTTTTTTATATTGCTGTGTCACAATTATGATTGATCTTAGTACATTTTTAAACATTTTTTTGTTTCACTTCTGCAAATCTGTGTGATGGACGTCAACAAGGCTAGGCCCAAAAGAGCATCGCTAAAAAAATTTGTGCTCATCCAGTGTGCTGTGTTCCTTTAGCGCTGTCATTTTGTGCTGCTTTTTCCCAGATTGGTATTGATAACCACCGAGTATGTGCAGTAACATGAAGTTTTAAGTTTGATGGAAGCCTGTCTGTTCGGTATACAAGGTTGACGGTAAAAAACACGGAGGCACTGTGCTTACCCAAATTAAACGTGGAAAACACACAGAAAAAGTCATTTCGGCTCCCACACTAGAGCCTTGTTCGTGAATGAAATTAAAACATGTCGGGCAGTTCACCTTATGTCCACTTGAATATATCATGCAGACAGCACATATACACTGACGGCATAATTTTCATAATTTCTGTTTATAAGGCAGTAATCTAATGTAGTAACATGAGTGCATCAATGCCGTAGTACCCAGTATTTCCCGGAAGTATACTTTTTTGCCTTCTTGAGGACTACAGGCCTTTGACTTCTGTATAGTGCAACTGCTACATACGTGTCAGCACGCTTACTGACTTCCCTCCTCTCTCATCTCCCTTTGTCAGTCCAGTGTGCCTGCTTAACCTTCCTGCTTTTTCTCTGGTTCTTTTTATGTTTTTCTTTTCTTCAACGTCCACCTTTTTTTTTTTTTTAACCGATCTCAAATTGTGAGTTAAACCGCATGATATTACAGAAATTTTATCTCAGCATCCATTACTTTGATTTCTGCATAAGGAAAAGCTATCTCCATAAGTGTGATCGAACATATGTTTGGTTCTTCCAACAGCATATTGTGCCGAAGAAGCCTCCACCTGGTGGCGTCTCATTGTTTGGAGGTTCAAGCCTTTTTGGAGAAGAGCTGAAGAGCCGGCTTGGGAGCATTCCGGGTCAAGGGCTGCCCCCCATCCCTGGAGGCCTGCCTGGTGCACTCGAGGAAAAGGCCTTTGCAGATGTAGGGAGCAACCTTGTATAAAGGCTTGGTTTAGAAAGAGAGAGATAGAGCTAATGTTGCCCTTTGAAAGGCCAACCCATATTTCATATACAGTTGTATATAGCTTGATTTAGCAAAGTAATGATTTTGTTCAAAATTATTTCGTTAAATTGGAGAAATTGTGAAGTCAAGGAAGGGTTTTTCTTTCTTGTGAAATTTAAGATACCGTATTTTTGCGCGTATAACCCACACCAAAAACCCAAAAATTTCAGTGGCAAAGTGGAAGTGCAAATAATACGTGAAGTATTTCCTATATTGCTGCTTCACAGCAATGCGTGTTGTGCTGTGAAGCCCCTTAACAATGTAGCGAAGGCTACGGAGGCGGTTTCCGCAAATTCGTGTTGCTCCGCAAGTAGCACGGCAGCTTGCAGCAGATTTTGGTTTCGCTTGCTTGCATCATTGAAGCGTTTAGAAAAACATTTGGGGAGAGACAATTCGATTGTTCAGTGTAAAATCTCACTGTCACACTACAAGTATATTTTATGGACGTTTGCGAGAGAGATAGAGATATTATCAGTAAATTTATGTACTACTTTTTGACGCGGTAGCAGGCATGCATTTCAGTTCTGTTGTTTCCAGGGTGCTGTTACAGTGTACTAGAAGGGGTAGTGCTAAGTCGTGGAAGCCTAAGTCGATCTGTTCTGTCACCATGAGTAGCGTACGGCGGCAGACCTTCACGACACAGCAAAAGCTTAAGATCATCACCGTCGCCGAGGAATTCGAAAATCGCGAAGCGGGAAGACGACACGATGTGGACGAGTCTTGCGTGCGACTGTGGAAAAAGAAGAAAGCCTACTAGTCGCGCACCGCGACCGTAGGTCATTTCGTGGCCCCAAGACCTGTGCCTACCCTGAGCTGGAGGTGGAGCTAGTAAAGTTCATCGAAGATGTGAGAAGCAGGGGTCACGCTGTATCGACCGAGATGGCCCAAGTGGAAGCGCGGCGACTTTCGAGAAAGCTAGGCCTACCTCACGAGTTCCGTGCGAGCCGCGGATGGCTGCACCGCTTTATGAAGTGGCAAAAGCTCTCAATCAGACAGCGGACTACAATATGTCAACGCTTGCCGGCTTCTTATGAGGAGAAGCTGCCCAAGTACCAGAGATATGTAATTGGCCTGCGAAAGCAGCACAATTACATTTTCTCGCAAATCGGCAATGCGGATGAAACTCCTGTTTATTTTGAAATGCCGTTGGACACAACGATTGAGAAGACGGGCAGCAGTTTGGTGAGCGTGCTGAGCGGCGGGAACATGAAACTGCGCATCACAGTCTTGTATTGTGCCCTCGCCGACGTCATCTTGAAAAGGAAAACTCTACCAAAGGTTCATTTGCCTGCCGGTGTGGTGGTGCGCGCACACGAGAACGCGTGGATGAACAGTGACTTGTTCGTGGACTGGATCAAGACGGTATGGGAGAAGAGGCCCGGTGCGATGCTCACAAAGAGGTCCATGCTCGTTTTCGACTCGTTCCGCGGCCATATAACTGAGGAAGTGAAGGGGACCGTCTTTCACGAAACAGCACCGACTTAGTTGTTATACCCGGTGGAATGACGTCAATGTTGCAGCCTCTAGATGTGTCGCTTAACAAGCCCTTCAAAGCGCATGTCAAGCGCTATTACGCCGAGTGGATGGCCGAAGGCCTCTACGACTTGACGCCGACAGGACGAGTCCGAAGGCCTGATATTGCCCTATTCAAGTGGATTGTCGAGGCATGGAAGACTATTCCAGGTGAGATGGTGCGAAAAAGTTTCTAGAAATGCTGCATCACAAACAACATGGATGGAACCGAAGATGACCTTGTGCATAACAGTGAGTACTGCGGCTCAAGTGATAGCTCTAGCGAGAGCAGCGACAGTGGGTGAATTGTGACTGACCTTGCAGACAGCGTATTCTGCAAGCTAAATAAAGCTTTTCCTGTCTACATATGTGCTATGTTGCTTGAGCAGTAGCTTTTGTACAGCCTTTCCTGTATATGAAATGTGAGGGCAATACGCGAGGATTTTTTTTTCTTTCTCGTTGAGCTGAAAGTGGGGGTGCGGATTATATTCAGGGGCGGGTTATACGCGCAAAAATACAGTAGAGACGTAGTGACAACCAATACTTATCATAGCAGTTCATCTGCCACAAACACACCGTGTGAGAAGTCCATGAGCCCTAGTTTGACCACATATGGCTTATACATGAAGCTTTGAGGCCCATCTGGAACCAGCCAATTGACAGAGACGGGCCAAATGAATGCAGCGGTTGTCTAAGCTGGCTGCAGAGCAAGAAAGTTGCAAGAACTGCTGTTTGTTGTATAAATTATGAATCAACCAAAGATGCATCTGTGGGAGCATTTACGGGAGTAGCAGATCACCATTGCCATTTGGTACTATTAGCGTCAAATGAAACCCGAACAGCGGCAAGCCGTCGTGATAGTATAGTGTGTGCTGTCCACTTATCACCATAGACAGGCACACATTTATGCACAGAGATGCCAAACAGGATGCGCGCGCCTGTCAGCTGAGATAACTGGACACCACACACTATATCATCTTGAATGCTTGCCGATAGTACACCAATAGTACATACCGATAGTACATATCAACTATTAAAAAGACCCTGAAACACTTTTTCAAGTAATCATAAAATGGATTCACTAAAAGCGCTTACTGCCTTACGAATTTAATGCCGCAATAATTTTAAGAATCCGTCCAGTACGAGCGCATTTTACAGATTTGTCGCACGCTGCAAACGCATTCTCTCTTCTCTCGTCTAGACGAAAGCACTAGAAGCTAAGCAGAAAGGGATGGCAGGGGCAAAGAAAATGGATCACGCGCCCCTCGTGACATTGAGCACTTTTTTTTTAATACACTGCTTTTCAACGTAATCACGTACGCTCGCGTGGACAAGTCGTGCCGTTTTGTGGAGATTCCTGTAACGACCGAGTGTGCCATGTTCAAATCAGCCAATGGTTGGTAGATGGCCTTGTACGAGTGATTTTTCGGCGTCTTCCATCATTTGGCGAGAGAAGAGAAAGCAATTGTTAGCTGACTTTGATCATTTATTGTAAATTCCAGGCCGCATACTGTGCTATAATATTTAGCTTGGTTGTTCTTGGAAGCCTCCACTACCGATTAGCAGTGTTTTCTGACCATGCTCAAAAAGGGTAGCAGGGCCCCTTTAAAGGGGCCTTGCAACGCTTTTACAGGTAATCGTCAAATGGAGGAAGGAGTTTAATGCTGCATAAGTCGACTGCTGGAAGAGTTTTTTATTTCATCAAGTAGGAATGGAGTCGCAGAAGTTTGTTGCTCACTGTAATCGCTTTCTCTCTTCTCTCGTCCAAGTAGATGCTCTGAAAGTTCAGAGAGATGGCACGTGGGAAAAAAGTCACCTGCTCGTCATCACCTTGAGCACTTTTTTTTTCCTTGAACATGCAGCTTAGTTTCAGCTTGAATGCTCACGCGGACCCGTGGCAATCCCTTACAGTGGCTACAGTAGCTATGCAGTCCTTAGTGCTCAAATATAGACTTTAGTTTTCCACTAAAAAGATGCACAGAAAAGAGGATGACAATACAGGTAGTGCATGTGGTCATCCTCGTCTTGTGTGCGCCATGTTAGCGGCAAACTGTGCCTTTCAAATTGTCTACCTACTAATTGTGAGAACTGGGAATTCTCCATGATTTTGGATAGAACTCCAATCTTTTTCACAGCACCAAGTTGTAACCCTAGAATAAAGAACCAATTTAGAGAAGGGAAACTTTAGTCTTGGCATTAGTACGCAAGATAAGCAGCTGTAGCGCATGGAACTACTGAGGGCCTCCAAGAGATGGTGCTGCGAAAACAGGAAGCAGATAACAAAATTTGTTGTTTTTTGTTTTTATGTAGGGAAAAAAAACAAAACGGCCACCCTTTTTATTCCGTACCGGGTGAATATATATATATATGCGGATATGCAGTTGCCTCAGCAGATTCTGTATTTTAAGGCTATCTTTTTTGAACAGAAGGGATCGAAAGATACCGGGACTCGTTCAGGGCTATGGATGTCTCGTTATCTTTCACCCGCTTGTTTTAAGTGCTTCAATATGCACAACAGCACACCAAAGCACCTTTCGGAACACAGTACCTGTGCGTACAAAGGTTACATGGAACCGAAAAGCATTCATTGGCAGCTAGCACCAGTAAAAACAATTCACGAGTGAGTTCGGGGAACAGTATTATTTATTGACAGCAAACCAGCAATCATTTTTGAATGTAAATAAATGATACTAATAAATCTATCATGTTAAAACCATTATCGAGAGTTCGCAAATTGCATGCCTTCGTTTTCAGAGGCAAAACGAACAGAAAAGTATGTCTCGTTTAGGAACTATCATTACAAAACAGTTCTAAAAATCAGCATGAGGTGCTTCAGTGAAAGCTTCGACTTACAGCTCCAGCTTTCGCCGAGCACGGCTTAACCCCCCTCTCCACATTTTTATTGCATTATGACATAGTGCGATCAAGCTGAGGACACAAGGAGGTGGGTTTGTTTGCAATGAAGTCACAGCGGAGCGAAAGTCGAGAGAAGCGTGTCGGGTCTCGAATCGCCAAGCTCTATCATGCTCTTGGCGTGCACGAACACAGCAGATGCGTTTGGAACCAACCAAACCAAACCCACATTTATTTAACTATTTTTAGAAACGACGATATTGTCACGTTACTCACGAAAAACTTGATACAATGGGCTCGTTGAGTCGACTAGCCAAGCAATGGCTCAGAGAGATCATCTTTGTCCTCTTTCACTCTTCGATCTCACCCAAGCAAACCATGTGGCAATAGTCCTCCCCCTTTGAAAGCATCGACTCGATGCTCGTAAATAAAAAAAAAATGAAGGCATACACACGCAGATATAGAGAACCAAAAGAGAGAGAGAGCCAGTACTCGCAGCGCAAATGAGGAAGTTTTGTTAACGCTTGCGCCAAGCGCAAAAAGAACAGGCATAA